TCGACTTGGGGAAAATTAATTTAATTTATTACCAATTAAAATCAGAGTAGAATAATGAGAAATAAAACCAAATCTTAAAAACACCTCCCCCTCACCCCTCCCTTCTTCCTGGGCTTAACTTTACTCCCTCCTCTATCCACAGGTCCACAGGTCCCGCAAAGAGCCTGCTCCAGCACAGGTTTTGCAGAGGGTCACAGCCTACTTCGGGCATCGAAGAGAGAGAGGAGTGAGAATATGTGAGAGGAACGACTCTGCAGACACCAAAATCAGTGAAAAAGGAGGGGGAGGAGGTGTTCCAGGTGGTTAAAACTATGGTGAGGTAGGCTATACCCCTGCAGCCCATGGAGAACCCCACATCAGAAATGAAGTAGAAACAAAGTAAAATGTTTACTGAAAAGCAAAAGGCAAAACCCAAAAATAAACTACAAATGCACAATAACAGAGAGTGAATATCACACAGAGGTCTCTTTCTCCACTGCTGTGTTGCTGAACTGGTAACTGCATTTTCCTTTGGTGCAGTTATAGCTGCGGCCAGAAGGTGGTGCTGGCGGGGTTTCTCAGTAGACCCTCCAGCAGCAGTGGCAGTAATGATAGCCACAATGGGATTGATGTGGATAGCTTTGTTGTATGGGTTCACGAGTTTCTTGTCCATCCCCATCTAACATTAATGGTTTTTTGTTGGGTGTGTGGAACCTGGTGTAAGAGGAAACAACTTGTTAGTGAAGTGATACCTTTGAATTTTTTGTATTTTTAACTCTTTGTAGATTTTAATGTATCTGTATAATCTGTCACACTTTAGAATTGTAGTTTACACTCACCAAACCCTATTCCCCCATTTAATATCGAATTTTCTAAATTCTTTAGGCTTGTTTAGGTTTTTTTCAATGTAGAACTGTAATAAACACCTTCTCTTTAAGAACATTTGCACCTCAGGCCTGAACAACAAGATACCCTCATAGTCAAAGCAACCTTCAAGCCCAGAACCTTGGAGAAGCTTCAAAGACAGTACCTGCCATGAAGAAGAAAAAGATGAGGAAGAAAGGGGTCTTAGGACCTCCGACTCAATTTCCAGGCAGGAGTGCCAGGGGGGCATTATCTTATCCCTGATAAATCTGCCTGGAGTTTTTTCTACTCCTGATTTTTAAGGCAACAAAGTGACAAAGAAACGTGCCCTGAAGTGACAGGGTATGTGGAAGGATTTCAACAGCTTCCTAGGCCTCTGGGAAAGTTGAATGATACAGTGGACTGTTAAAAACCACATTGAAATCAAGGGATGGTGGGACCTTGAGATTTATTGGGATTTAGCAAAGGTCACCTGGTTAGTGAACACATGAGGCTCTACCAATAGAGCTGGGCCTGCCCAATCAAAACCTCCATGTACCATAGAAGGGGATAAAGTCCCAGTGGTACTGTTGCCTAAATGTCTGTGGGGAAAAAAAGACTCCAAGACAAATTAGGTAGGAGATAAGGATACAAAGGCTTTAATGAGCCCCCAGGTTTTCTGGAATACCCCCAGTGCACTGGCCTGCATATCATGCTGTGCACTCCCAAATACAGATGTCCACAGTTTTTATAATGATTTTCACCCAATCCCCGTCCAGCCACCACCCAGGTTCTGCCCCTGCCACACCTCTTGGAAATTGGGTCTGGGGGTGTTTTGGGACCCCCTCTTCTTCATCTTCATCTTCCTCAGAGCACGTAATGTCCTTGGAGGCCTTCCAGAGTTCTAGGCCTGAAGGTTGTTGGGTCTATGGCTATATCTTGTTCCATAGGGTTAGGGTGTTCTTCTACAATTCTACCTTGAAAAAGAGACTAAACAGGCTGTGGAATTTAGGGAACTGATATGGGAATGGGTAACAGGGGTTTGAGCTGGTGTGTTAAGGGTAAAGGGATAATATGCTGCTACTCTAAAATCTACATTTACTACATAACTACTTCTAAGATCTACAAAAATTAAAAAAATTAAAACATCAAAACTCCAAGGTATCAGTCCCCCCTTTAGAGACTGGACAAAACTCAAAAATTTTGTCTAATCTCTACTACTTACTTCTAATCACTTTCCAAAAAGATGACCAACATCTACAACATTGGTTCATGCAATAAGCTATTACACAAACACTAACTATGTACATCACCAATAGAAACAGTTGTTTAATCCAGGTCCAGTTCGGTAGCTATGAAGTAAGTTTGTGGAGAGTGTCTCCCAAACCCAGTGAGACATTGTCCAGAGATACCTGATGTAGAATTTTGGTTTGGTTCCGAATTGCAGCCAAATCCATAGTGCAAATTTAGCACTCACTTTCATGGAGAATATCAGGTGCATTTTACTAAAGCCAAATGTAAATTAGGCTCCAAACTTAATTCATAGTTACCGACTGTACAGATAACATGCACAGCAGAAACAGTCTATGTCTCATCCTCTGAGTAGAGGTGTCCAATCCTATGGGCCTGGAAAGCTCGATGAATTTTTGGAGCTTCTGTAAAGTAGAGCCGGTGTTGTTCCTGGCTTGAGCGTGATACTTACAGGTTCTGTTTGCTTGGACCTCCCAGGATATTCATTAGTCCACACTAAAGGGATCACAGTATTCTCAACCTCTGAGGGAATGTCTCCATGGTTCTCCTGTATGAAGAAGGTGGCTGCCTCGATATATTTAGTGTTAGGGATGATAATTTTTATTCTCCCCCCCTTACAGAATTTAATTTCAGCTTCCAGTTTTTCTAATAAATCTCTACCCAATAAAGGCATGGCAGAATTTGGCATATAGAGGAATTGATGAGTTACCCAGTGTTTCCCTAATTTAAATTTCAAAGGTTTGAAGAAAGGCTAGGTTTCATTTACCGCTCTGGCACCAACCACAGTTACAGTATCGTGACTCAGTTTCCCTTCCAAGGTGTTTAACACAGAATATGCAGTATTTGTAGTAACTAAAAATTCTACATCTACTCTCTGTCTTTGGTCTTACTACAAGTGGTTTCTCTTCCCCCTTCCCCAAGCTATCGTTTGATTCATCCTCAGAAACTTCTGTGCTTATATCAGTAAACTTTAATCTGCTCTTCCACCGATGCTGTAATTCTAAACCCTGGTTCCCCCCTTCCTCCGTAGGATAGGGTGGTGCCGAAGGGATGGGGGCGGGTTCGTCCCCGCCCCTCATGGCAGAGATGGAGGGTCCCGTGTCAGCCGGGGCAGGGACCCCGGTTGCAGACACCACCCCTGCTCCTCCTCCCGCAGTGCTGAGGTCTGAGCCTCCTGTTCCCACAGCAACTGAGCCCGCGCTGCCTGTAGCGGCCCCGGCGGGGGCCGCCGCCCCCCCGCAGCTACCGGCAGAGCCCGCGGTTCCAGCCAGGACTGGCCCCACAGTCCAGGGAGGCGCTACCGCCCCCCCGTAACCAAAAGGGCCTGCAGCCCCGGCCAGGAACGGCCCCGCAGTCCGGGGGGGGGGGGTTATCGCCCCCACCCCAACACTGGCAGAGCCCGCAGCTCCAGACGGGATCAGCCCCACAGCCTCGGGAGGGGCCATCGCTCCCCGATCACCAACACCCAGGGAGTTCGCAGCTTCAGACAGGACCGGCCCCGCGGCCTCGACAGGGGCTGGTTCCGCAGCTCTGGGAGGGGCTACCGCCAGTCCTGCCAGTGCCAGAGCTCCTGGCGCAGCCGGGGCAGAGGTCGCCCCGGCTCCTGCCGCTCCCGTGTCAGTTGGAACAGCCGGCGCCGACCCCGCAGGTCCCGGAGTACTAACAGGAGCTCCCAGGACTCCCGCTCCACCCAGAGCAGTCCCAGTTTGTCCCGCCGTTGCCCCCAGGGCCCCCGAAGCAACTGGACTCGGCACTGCAGATCCAGCCGTCCCTGCCGAGCTGGTAGGACCCGCCCCAGGGGTTACCCCCGTTCCTGATGGACCGACGCCCCCCGCACCTGCGGCCGGACCCAGGAAGGGTCCTGGGCTTGTTATTCTCATATCCGAGGGAATTAAGAGGTCCAGATCTTCATTTCCAGGGATTTCAAGATTAATTTCCTCCTTAGGATCATGTTTAGCACGATTTTTCTTTTTCTTTTTCTCCTCTAATGCCATTTCTGTGAGTTCTGCTTCTATTTTAACTTTGTCCTTTTTATATGCCTTTCTCAATTTCGGACAGGTTAAGAAAAGGTAGAATAATTCTGCATAATGCAATTCCGACCACATTTCCTCCTTATGAAGGATTGTCATAAGATGAAACACTGTATTTGCCTCAAAAGAGCCAAATTTCGGCCAGGCTATTCCTCTAATTTGTCCAGTATAGAGCCAGACATCCATAGAGAGTCTAACTACCTCCCACCTTTTTAAAGATGTTTCAGGGCCAGTTAAATCATCCCAATACCGTAAAACCAAAGTGAGAGGGGTTCCCTCTGGAATCTCTTCTTTAGCTTGTGTACATCCCATGTTAACAAACAACACACAAGGAAAACGACAGATCTAACCTAGAACTTACAGCTACTCACACACACACTGCAGACTTTGTATCTAATCCAGACACTACCAGGTTCAGGCAGAAACACAGAGCTAAAACCGGGGGAGGCGTCCCCCCCCTTCCGCGGCCACACCTGGTCAACACAAAACCCGAAATCCTCCTGCCTGCCCTAACTAAAACTTTCCGGGAAGTTCCACTGCCCACTCCGGCAAAAATCCCTTTGCCAACAGACTGGGAAAACACTGACTTTTTGGGCCCAAGTCCGTTTCCCTTCCCAGTCTCACCGTATTCCCTAGCCCTGGGGAAACTCCTTCCCGCAACTGCTAATTAAAATTCTCTAGGAGTTTTGTTCTTTATCTTATCTCCTCCGCGTGCGGAGAAGCTGGACTCCCCGAGATCAGAGCAGGAATTCTTCAAGATATGCCGGTCGAAGAAGAAATCCCTGCAAAATGGAATATCGATCCAGAGGAGTCACATGTCCCGAGTTCCCCGTACGGAGTCACCAAAACTGTTGCCTAAATGTCTGTGGGGAAAAAAAGACTCCAAGCCAAATTAGGTAGGAGATAAGGATACAAAGGCTTTAATGAGCCCCCAGGCTTTCTGGAATACCCCCAGCATGCGCTCCCGAAATACAGATGTCCACAGTTTTTATAATGATTTTTGCCCAATCCCCGTCCTGTCACCACCCAGGTTCTGCCCTCGCCACGCCTCTTGGAAATTGTGTCTGGGGGCGTTTTTGGACCCCCTCTTCTTCATCTTCATCTTCCTCAGAGCACGTAATGTCCTTGGAGGCCTTCCAGAATTCTAGGTTTGAAGGTTGTTGGGTCTACGGCTGTATCTTGTTCCGTAGGGTTAGGGTGTTCTTCTACAATTCTACCTTGAAAAAGAGACTAAACAGGTTGTGGAATTTAGGGAATTGATATGGGAATGGGTAACAGGGGTTTGAGCTGGTGTGTTAAGGGTAAAGGGATAATATGCTGCTACTCTAAAATCTACATTTACTACATAACTACTTCTAAGATCTACAAAAATTTAAAAAATCAAAACATCAAAACTCCAAGGTATCAATACATATGAGCAATGTGTTAGGGAAGACAGTTTGGATTAGTCCTGCCTCAAGCAAAGACAAACCCATCCATGGCATTGCTTTTGCTCAAGGACCTGGCTGCACTTGGTGGGTACTGCAGAGGCACAGGGAAACACAATGTGTACCTCAAGGGGATTTGATTTTTGGGTGAGAACAGTCTGCAATGTTGAATTGTATAATATTGGTTGCTGAATTACACTGCCACTGTATGTCATAACTCCCATGAACAATGAGGATGGACTGCTCCAGATACACCAGTAGTGAGCTCCTGATGCAGCTTGCAACCAGCTGACATCACCAGCCCTCCTGCCCTGGAAGACATCTAGGATGTATAGAGCCCACAGTCCTGGACTAAATGAACTCAAGAGACATCTTGGAGGGACAGCCATTGACTATGGAAATGATACCTGTCTGTCATAGGTTTACTTGTTCTAAAAAAGTGGGAAGTTTTTTTCTTTCCCCTACATCACTGTGAAAGAGGGATGTTTGAATGAGGGAGGGGGAGGGTGGTTTTTGGCTGGGACGATTGACACACACAAAAGAACTGGTCAACAGCCTTGCATCCAGGTTGATGGCCTTCAGAAGACTGGGGGGGGAGGTGATGAGTTTTGTTTCCTCTCCTCGGGAAACAGCAGTCGCTTCACTTTTGCCCTGACTCAGGGAGTGTTTATGTAAGAGGGTTTCTGAGGTTCATTTTGTTTTCAGCCAGGTCATCTGGCTGCTTCTGTCCCCGGTTCGCCTCCGTTCTCCTGAGTCCTGTTCTGCCCCCAGCCCAGACCTACTCGGACTTCATCAGAGAGGTTGAGCCGATCTGCATCCCGTGTTTAGCAGCAGCTTGTGCGCATCGAAGAAGGGGGAGGGAATCTGGGCCAGAGTCAGCCGCTGACAGTGTGAGTCTGTGGAAAGAACCCCTTTTTCCCCTTTTCCCCTTCCCCTTCTTGGGGGGGGGGGGGCGATCTCCATTTTGGTTTCTCCTGTGCATCGGGGGCCCCATGCAGCAACTGCCAGAGCCCAACAGCGCTCCCTGCCAATGACAATCAGTTCTCCAAAGATGGGCCAACATCTCCACAATCTCTTAACAACACATCACAAACTTTTAACACTTCTTCAGAGTGCCACACTTGGTTTTTGGTTGCAGAAGTGACACTGAAAACCTCTACATCCATCTGTCCAACTACATTAGGATGCATGTGAAAACAGGATTGAGCCAGCTGCTCAGGGTGATGTCACACTTTTGCTGCTTAAGCTGTCACACTGTAGTGTAAAGAATAAGCAATAGATCTAGATGCTCTGGTAATGCAACAGGCCTAGATTAAGAAAGTGTTCAAATTAGACAGGGATACACTCTAACATGCCCCACTATGAAAGAGCTCAGGGAGGAAGGCAGGCTTTATCCCATAGCTGTAATCAGAGGCACAAGGCACACATGCAGCAGAGTGACCATCACTAGCTTAGAGGGACAGTGAGTCAGGTATATAAGGAGAAACAGCTTGAGAAACAGGTACCATCTGAGTACTCTTGACCAGCTCATCTGGTTTTGATTGTTGTGTCTGTGAAAAGGTGTTTTCATTTTCTCCCTTGCTAACCCTAGTCACTCTGTGGATCTTTAATACCACAACTCTGTGGTTTCGATGTGTTTCTGATGTTTTAACTGGACCTGCTGAGGAAAGCTTCCTTTTCTAAGGAGGTGAATTTATGGTCCACTGGCAGATGCTCATTTGTTCAGGTCACCTTCTAAGCTGAAAACACTTCCCAGGAAGAATTACAGTAGCAAAAAGTACTTATAAAATAAAGATGCATTTTAGCCATACAGAGTAGTCATCTTTCCAGGTGGCAGAACAGTCACAGTCCAGAAGGATAAAGGGACAAACAATAGTAAAAGCAAGGTTTGCCCATGTTCAATCAGTCATGCTGAGCAAGCATCTTCAAAGTGCTTTCCTGTAACTGCAAAAAAGTGCACTTGGAACCCGTTGGGCAAGTTCAGGCAAGAACAGTCATGTTTTTGGTGCTACACTCTGTATCTTTCGTTGTTTGTAAAGAGTCAATGACCATCAGGCTCCTCTCATTCCTCTGTTCCCTTGCATGGTTTACACTGCTGAAGGCTGTAAGCTCTATGCTAGTTGAATTAACTGCCTGAAAATCAGGTGATTTGTGTCCATATAAGGATGATACTTCCTTTTCAACAGTGAGATTTTTTTTTCTCATGTTGTCCAAATGCAGCACTTTTTTTATCATGTTTACAAGGTGGCTGAAGATCCCCAATATCCCTAATAGGAGGTAGTGTGTGACCAAAGGTACAGTCTGTCCAGATGTTTTTTAAAACAACTAATGATAATCTCAAAATTCAAAAACATTATCCAGATAACCTAGGAGTCCAGGCTGGCTTTGATAGCACTCTTTGAAAGGCTAATCACAGATACATGGTGGTAGGAGTCACACAACTGGAGTACTGCAATGGATGGCTATAAACTCTTCAGAAGGGATAGACAAGGAAGGAGATGTGGTGGGGTATCCCTTTATGTTAGGGAGTATCTCAATTGTCTGGAGCCTAATGATGGTGACGTTAGGGTTGAGTGTTTATGGGTAAGAATCGAGGGGAAGGCCAACAAGGCAGAGATCATGGTGGGAGTTTGTTACAGACCACCCAACCAGGATGAAGAGGCAGATGAAATATTCTATAAGCAGCTGGGAGAAGTCTCATGACTGCTAGCCTTTGTTCTCATGGGGGACTTCAACTCCTCAGATGCCTGCTGGAAATAAAATACAGCTGAGAGGAAGCAGTCTAGGAGGTTCCTGGAGTGTGTGGAAGACAACTTCCTGACATAGTGGGTGAGTGAGCCAACTAGGGAAGGCGCCCTGCTGGACCTGTTGTTTCTGAACAGAGGACTCATGGGTGATGTGATGGTTGGAGGCCATCTTGGACACAGAGACCATGAAATGATAGAGTTTTTGATTCCCAGAGAAGTAAGGAGGGGAGCAGCAGAACTTCCACCTTGGATGCCCAGATGGCAGACTTTGGCATGTTTAGGAGCTTGAGAGAGTCCCTTGGGAGGCAATCCTGAAGGGCAAAGGAGTCCAGGAAGGCTGGACATTCTTCAAGAAGGAAATCTTAAAGGTAAGGGGATCCAAAACACGAGCTACTGGGGAAGAAGACTGGCCTGGCTGAACAGAGAGCTTTGGCATGAACCCAGGACAAAAAGGAGAGTGTATCCCCTTTGAAAGAAGGGGCAGACAAATCAGGAGGACTACATGGATGTTGTGAGATTATGCAGGGACAAAATTAGAAGGGCCAAATTCAAACTAGAATTTAATCTGGCTACTTCTGTAAAAGACAGTGAAAAATGTTTTGATAAATAATAATAATAATAATAATGGCCAGTCTTCGCGAGCGAAGATCCGGGGAAGGTCTTTACACCTTCCAGCCTGCGCATTGGATTTTTTAGGTGAGACACAGTGTGTGCGGAACTGAGCCCACCCTTTAATCCTAAGGTTCATCTGCCGGGGCCAAGCAAGCTTGGACGGTGGCAGCGAGGTCCTTAGGACGTAGGTGGGTTGCCTTTCAGGGCTAACGAGCCCCACCTGCCCGGGAGTGGCCCTGACCGGGAATCGAACCCAGGTCTCGGCGGTGATAGCGCAGTGCCTTTACCACTAGACCACCAGGGGCTCCTTTTGATAAATACAGCAGCAACAAAAGGAGGGCTAAGGGGAATCTCCATCCTTTATTTGATGCGTGGGGAAACATAGTGACAAAGGATGACAAAAAGGCAGAGCTACTTCATGCCTTCTTTGCCTCAGTTTTTAATATCAAGACCTGTTGTACTCAGGGTACTCAGCCCCCTGAGCTGGAACACAGAGATGGGCAGCAGAATGAATCCCCCATAATCCAAGGGGGAAATGGTCAGCAACCTGCTACATCACTTAGACATACACAAGTCTATGGCGTTGGATGGGATCCACTCGAGGGTACTGAGGGAGTTGGCAGAAGTGCTCATGAAGCCACTTGCAATCATTTATACACAGTCCTGGCTAACTGGGGAGGTCCCAGATGACTGGAGGTTGGCCAATGTGGCATCCATCTACAAAAAGGATTGGAAGGAGGCTCCAGAGAACTACAGGCCTGTCAGTCTGACCTCAGTGCCTGGGAAGGTTATGGAACAGATCATCTTGAGGGCCATCATGTGGCATTTACAGGACAACCAGGGGATCAGGCCCAGCCAGCATGGGTTTAGGAAAGGCAGGTCCCACTTGACCAACCTGATCTCCTTTTATGACAAGATTGGCCACTTAGTAGATGAGGGAAAGGTTGTGGATATGTCTACTTTCGTAAAACCTTTGATACTGTCTCCTGGAAAATCCGGCAGCTTATGGCTTAGACTAGTATAGTCTTCCCTGGGTAAAAAACTGTCTGGATGGCTGGGCCCGGAGAGTGGTGGGGAGTGGAGCTACATCCAGCTGGTTGGTCACGAGTGGTGTTCCCCAGGGCTCAGTATTGGGGCCAGTCCTGTTTACCATCATTATCAATGATCTGGACAGGGGCATTGAGTGCACCCTCAGTCAGTTCGCAGATGACACCAATTTGAATGGGAGTGTTGATCTGCTGGAGGGCAGGAAGACTCTGCAGAGGGATCTGAACAGGCTGGATCGATGGGCCAGGGCCAGTTATATGAGATTCAACAAGGCCAAATGCTGGGTCCTGCACTTGGGTCACAACCACCCCCTGCATTGCTACAGGCTAGGGGCAAAGTGGCTGCAAAGCAGTCCAGCAGAAAAAGGCCTGGGGGGATTTGTCAACCTGGGTGCTAA